ATAAATCTGATCTTCCTCATTTCTCATCAATTAATGCTGAATTAGAGTTATGGGAGGAATTTTGGAAAGAAAAGACAGAATTACCATCTACTATTTCAGATACATTAAAGTTTATGGATATGAGAGGCTTTCCAAACATTTTAGCGGCTTTTCATATACTTGCTACAATACCAATCACAACTTGTGAGTGTGAAAGGTCAATATCTACTCTTAGGAGAATAAAAACTTACACTAGGAGTACTATGTCAGAAAATAGATTGAATGGGCTTGCTTTAATGTCTATTCATCAGGAAATAGTTCCTGATATTAACAGAGTTATTGAAATATTTGCATCCAAAGGAGATAGAAAATTAGAGTTTTTATTCAAATAAAAGTTTTGATGTTATGTTTAAAGTATTAACTATTGTTTTAAAAGTATCTCTTAAATATAAATAATTTTTCAAAAGCAAAATATTTCTACTCATTGTTTTAAACATGTAAATTGTGAAAATCATTTTTCATTAGCAAATTATTATTATTCATTGTTTTATATAAACTGTGAAACTCAATACTTCATTTGCTATTTCAATTAATTCCTAATGTTGAGAGCGTTTTCAGGTGATTTAGGTTGTTACTTTTTTAGTTGTTACTTTATTTGTTGTATTATATTTTTTCTTGTTTATTTATTTATTAAAAAATAAAAGTAAAAAAAATTATAAAAATATTTAAAATATTTGTGCATAACTGCCTATCAAAAAAAAAAAAAAAAAAAAAAGAATCCAGAAATGGAGGGCTAACCTTAAATAAGGTTACTAATACTTAAGTTAAACTGTTTATTAAGAAAAGGAAATAATCCATAAATAGAGGAGTAACTTTAGGAAACATTAATAATAATAATTAACTTAAATTGCCTATCAAAAAAAGGGAAGAACCAGAAATGGAGGGCTAACCTTAGGCAACATTACTAATACTTTACTTAAACTGCCTATCAAGAAAAGGAAAGAATCCAGAAATGGAGGGCTAACCTTAGGCAACATGACAGTTTACTGATGGAGTGCAAAGTCCTATGGCTTACCTTCTCGTTGGTGCACTTCGTTAAGTGAGTTAGACAAGTATTATGTCTAATTTATGAACTAAATAGCCAAGGCAACAATTTAAATAACTTTATTGTTAAATAGATAACTAAAAACAGAAAAAATCATGACATTAATAGGGTGATGTCACCCCTTCTTTCTCAACTGAAAATATGAAATTGTATCTGGGAATTTTAGATATAGTTTAAAATTAACAAATGTAAAAAATTGAGGCTTATTTATTTTTTTGTTCAAGGCACTTTACTCCCCCCCCCCCCCCCCCTCAATCTCTTCCTATCACTTATTTAAAAAAAATAGCTCTTCGCGCCGTCCGCGAACCCAGATTTGGCCACATAGTTACAAAATCCTGGATCCGCCCCTGATATACATATACACATATACACATATACACATATACATATACACACATACACATACATAACTTCGTAGTTATTTTTACATGCACGAATAAAATAGATTCTTCTTTTTCAACAAGTGTTTTTAATTTTTAAAGATTTAAGTTTTATCCGTTTTAATTTCATTTCAATATTTCGATAATGATAAAAAGTATAAAAGTAGGATCGGTTTGTGATGACTATCTGCTTTATTACAATGAATTCAATTTTATTATTGTTTTAAAGGAATGCTTTTTTGAACGTGAATGAAAAATTGCATTCCTACAAAAAATACAAAAAACTCAAGATTGTGCTTTAAATAAAAAGCACTAAATGCAAGGCCGCCGAGATGGGGCCCTGAGAGGTGACAGCTCTCGACGGCCCTGACTATATGCATTTAAAAGAATAAGTTATAACAAAAGTTTGCTTCATATTTAGAAAGATCAGCTATATTATCTCTGAGTTAACATTTTATTTTAAACTGCATCGCAGTATGAATATAATTAGTGTTTAGACGGCCCTATTTTTTTAGTAACGAAAAAGCATAGTCATAATCACAGATAGTCAGTTGGGTCGTTTTCACAAGGTTCTATTGTTTTTAAACTAAAGTTAAAATTTTGAATTTATGTTGAAAACTGTTTATTTATTGTGCCAAGACTACTAATATGTGCACAAAAATCTAAAAAAATGGTGATTTAGCAGACGAACAATGCAATGATTATCTCATAATAGATTTAAAGCCAGATATTTTTTTCAAAAACAGTTTCTGTTGATGCTTTTCTTACTGAAATAAGGAATAGAAATTATTTTAATCAGTTTTAATTGCTAGATTTGTTTAATTGTGTGTTAAAAAATCAGAGAAAGGGCTCAAGCAATACATAACAAACTCAACAATAAAATAGTGACTCCCTAACACAGCCAATAAATCCAACAACTAATGTTAAGCAAACATGTTTTGTAGATGAGTTCAAAACCTTTGTTACAAAAAAAAAATAACATTCTTAAATAGAATCTTTGCTACCCTATATTTACTATTTGAGTTAAACTTTTGAAATACATATTCTCAGAAGGAACATTCATTCGACTTTTAATGGTGACGCGGACGTTTTATATTCAAAGTCTTACAAATTTGTTGGTCAGAAAGCATTTTTAAAAAATCTTACAGATAAAACTTCAACTCTTGTAGGATTTGACCTTGCTAATCATATTTTGGCTCACTTAACCAAGTCTAAAAACGCAGTCTCAGTTTTAATTTTTGACAATGCAATTCAGTTTACAGAAAAAGAAAAAATTGAATATTTAAAGGAAATGTGTTTAGCACTTTATATCAAAGGATATCAAAGGATGGCAAAAGTTGGCAAAGTAGATTTGGTCAAGGAACACTCTTTATTTTATTGGCTGGAAAAATTATAGAAAATGAATTTGAAGAGAATAATCGTAAAACTGATAGAAAATTTATTTATTTAAAAAATCGAGGTGGTATTTGGTCTGTATTATCTAATGCTTTTTCACTATTTAGAAGAGTAGTAATAGCATTCAGAAGTTCAACAAAAACTTTGTGTAACAGTAATATAAAACCTTATTTTAGTTGCTCAGAACAGTAAGATAAAACAGATGTTAAGGTTTTATCTTAATGTTCAAATTTTTCTTATGATATTTCTACTAAGGTATCTAAAAAAATATCTATCAATCTTCTCGACCACCTTTTAATACTTTGTTTTTGTGTTTGCTCATTTTCCTATACAAAGGAGCTTTTAAACTTGCATAAAATTAAGTCTAAGAAGAGAAGAATAAGTTTGTTAAAAAAAGAAATCAAAAAAGTGTCTTTAAACTCCACTGAATTAAGAGTAGACATTTAAAATAGGGTATTTTCATAGCCGCTAATTTTACTAAAAACCTATTCTAGCATACAAACTAAATTGCAACACAATGGAGAGATGTAATCAGTAATTAAGTGAGAGCCAAACGCAGGGCCGCCGAGAGAGAGAGGGGGGTACGAACAGAAAGTTTTGTCATACATATGAAATATGTGACGAAAAAGTTCTTCACAAAAAAAAAAATTACTGTAATAGGAGAATGGGGATAAGAAACCCTAAAATCTCCCTTAAATTGAAGGGGGGGGGGTATTCTTTACATGGTCATAAAAACTGAACACTGAATAATTTAAATATAAAATTTGAAATCTGTCGATGAACACATAACTAATTTATATTTAGTAGCAATTTTTTTTAGATTGCATGAAAGCTCTAAAATACTGCCAGCTTTCTAAAAAAGGGGAATAACTGGAATATTTGTTGTAGATCACAAGAATACTTATACTAAATTTGCTTGAATTTTCATTTCATCTAATAAAAATGTAACAAACCGTTCTTGATTAGAAAAATCCTTTACCTTTAAACTCAATTTATTTACAATTTCATGATTAAAACCTCTTTGTGGTAGAATATAGTTTTGGTTTTACACAAAGTTTTTTTCTCTCAAACGCCTTTGACTTGGTAAAATTACAAACCCAGAATTAATTTTTTTATTAAAATGGATTTCCTCAGAAGCAGCAGGTGACTTTGAAACAAGACCTAAACAATAGCAAATAATCATCGGGTGATAACGAATTCCTTGCTTTGAAGTAATTAAGTATTTTGTTACTCATCCCAAAATAACTTCATAAATGAAGTTACTGTACTATCATTTTTTGACACGATTGAAACCAAGTCTTTGTGTAGTCTATGTCATCACTGACAAGATGTGTGGATTTATTTAAATCCTGTTGCATTTCTTTGATGTTATCTATAAGCAATTTATTTTCTAAATTGCCGAAGCAAGAAGAAGACATTTTTGTCTTTGACCTTTTCAATTGCAAGAATATTTCATGATTATCTGGCAGATAACCAAGAATTCCATAAAAATATACAAATAGTAAACGAGAGTTCACTATTCGTATACTTTCAATGATGAAATCATCAGCGAAGGATGGTATTTTAAAAAGTGAAATACCTTATTTTTTGGCTGTGGTACTTACGAGAAGTACCACAGCCAAAAATAAAACAATTAGCACCAGGAATTTGCAAAAAACAAGGACAAATGAATAAATTTTTTGTAAATATTTTTAAGGCTTTTTTATTTACAAAAAGTGTGCACTCATTGGTAGACTGGGTTCTAAAAAAACGCTAACAATAAGATAAACAATTGCGCTCTTTAACTGGCCAGACTACTTATTTTGATTTTGGAAAAAGAATATTTTAACTATAAAAAAATACTCCCACGATTAAACTTATTTCCAGTGAAATAAACGCAACAGAAACTAGTAATCTTATTAAAACCATTGTTGAGATTGAAAAAAAAATTTATAAAAATGTACATTAATTTTATAATTAAGATTACAGGTTAAAGGTGTTAAAATAATAACTAAGAAAAAAACCAAAATAATATTGAATAAAGTAGTTCGGAGATTTGAGGTTTGCGCAGTGGGGTATACATTTTTAATAAGTTAATGTTATTAGTTGAGATATTCAAAACATCGGCATATCCATTTTGATTAAAAAAAAAACAATAAAAATAAAATAAAATGTTTCTTAAATTATTTGTTATTAATATTTACATAATATATTATAAATAATACATAACATTTCAAAGATTCCAATTTTACTGGTTGTATTTACAAAATCAACGATGCCATACCTCGACTTTCTTCTTTATAAACCCTTTTGGTCACACTCATAAAATTACGAAACAGTTGATATATCTTAGAAATTGTAGTACGATTTTTCTTTTCATGAAAGTAAAAGCAACCAAGTTCTACCTCCTTCACTAGAACATGCATTAATTTGGCTTCAAGTTTAATACATCCTCCAATCTGTTGGCTCCATGTGACATTATACGTTTTGATACAGAGACTGGCGTATTCACGAAAGTAAGGAACTTCTTCACACAGAGGAGGAGGGTTTCGCACTATAGTTTAAAGTTAACTCAGTTTTTTTAAAAAACTTTTCAACTATTTTTTCAATTATTTAAATTTTTTTTAAACTCGGTGTAGTTAAGGCAATTTTAAAATATTATAGTGTCTGTATGATATTTTGTTGACTACGACATATTTCTGTTAAATGAACAGGACTATAAATTATGAAAAGACGAAAAAAATTAAAATAATAATTTTTGCGGTATCATAAATTATAAATGTTTGTAGCGAAAAAACCCTGACCAAAGACTCTTTTTTTTTAAAAAAAAATTACAACCGCTTGTCCAAATTTGAATAAGATTTTACATAAATATGTTGCTTAGGTGAAATGAACATCATAGTTTAATAATATGATCTATTCTGATTGTTTAATGTCAATTTTTCTTAGTTATAAGCTCTTTCTTGGTCGGAATTCTAGTATTTTTTGTGGAAATTGATAGAATTATTGTATTTTAACAACTTTATATAGTTAATATACGTCAGAACCGATTAGAACTAGGATCTATGGTGGGTTATCAAAAACTTTTAACTAAACTCATGTCATCTAAAGACTCCAAACTGGTGTTCTTAAGATTTACTACTAATGGTAGTAAAATGAATATTATATAAAAAAAGAAAAGTTTCTTTAAATATTAAAAATGTCTAAATAACGAAAAATTATAATATCTAAAGCTCTTGTTTGGACATGATACGCTGATAAAATATTGCTAATTTCTAATAAAAGAATTCGAGTAAATTGTTAATTGCCTTAACTACACGAGTACTTATTTATAACTTTAACTTACAAGATATTTCTTCGTCTAATATTACCCTATTATTGACTTTAAATTTCATATCCACACCCTAAAATAAAAAAAAAAAAAATAAAAAAATTTATTGCCAAAAAAGTCAATACGTTAAAGAGATGCTATAACAGAAATTTCTATTTATAGCGTTATGTAACACATAGAGCATATACAAAATCTTTTGTTTTCAGTTTTGACCTTTTCTAAAACTACATGGAAATAACATTTCATTTTTCTTGTGCTGAAATTAGTAAAGGTGATACTTAGTGATTGACCGAAATTCTGTTTCGTCAGATCACTTATAATTCTAGGTTTTAAAAAAGTTAAAATCATTGAAGATACTAAACAAATTTTATTTGTCTGTAAGAAAAGTAAGAAAAACTGTATTTTTAACTCATCAAAAGATGCTTTTATATTTTGATCAGAAATGTGGTATTTTATATAATTTTATATTTATATAACTATAACTATAATTATAACTATATTTTTATTTAACTAAAATTTAAAGGAACTAAAGGTTTCCCACAATGAAGTTTTGGATTTTCTTGAAAATATCTAATAAACAGTTAAGTATGTATTTTTTTGCACAATTTTTAGTTTTTATCTTATTAGATGCATATTTTTCTAATTGATATGTTGTCTTTTTTGAAGCTTTAGATTTTATTATATCTCTGGCATAGTGTTCTCTCAACTATAAGTTGCTATTTGTATGCTTGTGTTCTGTCTGAAATGCTGTTACAGTGTTTATTTACCCATAATATTCCTATACATATGTTTGCATACATACATATAGGAATATATAGGAATATTATAATTGCTTGGGATGCCATTATTTATTTATAAAGGATTCAATTTCTCTTAACTTAAACCATGTCTAAAGCAACCAAAATATGAAATATAAAATATTATCACCACCACCGAACTGTTTCAATATATTTTTTACAAATATTTGTGGTCTTTGAAGTAACATTCTATCTTACATCTTGCAAAATTCACCAGCCATGACTATGTCCATTCTCTTTATCCCTCTGCCAAAATTGTTGTTATTGGTGACTTCATTACTCATCACATAAAGGCCTTAGCTTCAACACCACTGAACCTGCTGACACTAAAACTCATAACTTTTGTATTTCTCAATCTTTTACTAAAATAGTTAACTTTTTGACTTGTTTTCCGGACAACCCTAATCACTTACCTTCACTTCTTGATTTGTTTATCTCTGACCTTAGCTTGTGTTTAGCTAAGGTCTTGTGTTTCTCCTTGTTCTCCTTTAGGTGGTTCCAATCATGCAATGCTCTGTTCAAATATTTTTTCTTGTACTTTTTTGTATTTATCTTATCATATCACTATTTACTACTATCTTAAAGCTGATTGGGATTCTTTAGTTTTAATTGGAAGGCATGGAGGCTTGACTTGGAACTGATGCCTTCTCGTCAGTCATTCTAAGTCTCATTCTACTCCATGGTTCCAAGTCTCATTCTACTCCATGGTTCCAAGTCTCATTCTACTCCATTCCATGGTTCCAAGTCTCATTCTACTCCATTCCAAGCCTCATTCTACTCCATGGTTTTCACCTTCTAGTGCAGCTGCTATATCAAAAAAAGAAAACTCTTGATAACAAACACTTTTTTATTATTGCAAGAAATTCATGTAAAATTATGCTGACGGATGCTAAGCTCTATTATTCCCAAATTACTAAAGCTCGTTTCTTATCTCAGAAGTTATGTCTAACATTATATCTCTCATTCAAAGGACTGATCTTATTACTTCTCCCAAAGACAAGGTTGAACTATTAAATAGTTCATCCTTGTCCTTACCAAAAAATTTGATAATAATAAAAAACATAACAATACACAAATGAACACATCAATATAAAGGATGCACAAAATTACACGAAAGTATAAAGAAAACATAGAAATACACTACAATATAAAAAATATACAATATTACAAACAATACAAAAAAATACACGACGGTTTAATGAACATAAATTAAAAAAACTTAAAAATTGTTCTTTTTGCTTAATTTGTTTTATAACTTATTAAAGTTTTTTATTTTCGAATTTAACACAAACATTTTTATTCTTTGCATTTAGTTGTCTGCTTTTGTAATGTTTTTTCAATTTTTATTTTTTGATATTTTCATTGTTTTCACTATTTATTTATTTTTCATTTATCTTCTATTTTAAACGATTTTTAATTGTTTTTTTTTTGCTCTTTTATCTATTTTTCACCTTTTCACCATTAAAAAAAATGCTTCCTCCATTTGATATATATCTAAAGCTTTTGATTTGGCATGCTGGTCTTCTCCATAACCTTGCTTCATATAGTGTATTTGGGAAAGTTTTTGAGATTATTAAATCATTTCTTTCTAATTGCTTTTTAAAGTCATCCTCAAAGACCAACACTCTTCTTGATTTCCTGTAATTTATGCAGAGCCTCAAGGTTCTATCCTTGGTCCTGTGTTATTTCTTACCTACAGTAATGATCATCCTGAAAATATTATATCTGGTTCTATTTGCCAATGACTCAACTTTATACTCCTGTATTGATAAAAAATCTGTTTTTTTTTTGATTGCTTAAAACAGGCAGCTGATCTTGAATCTGATTTCACTTCTGTTTGAAGTGGCCTGTGAATTTTAACTCCATTAAAAGTTATTTACTGCAAACAACTATCACAATACTGTCAACATTCCTATGTTAATGAATGGCAACTCTCTCACTGAGTTTTCTTTTTTACGTCTTCTTGGACTATCATTCACAACTGACCTCTGATGGAAACCATATATACAATCAATTATAAAGTTGGCAAGGTTGATTCTCTTTATCTTGCTTACCATTACTTTACTTCTGATTTCTCTCTCTACCTCTACATATCTCTAAATCATCCCTGTGTGGAACAATGTTGTCATATTTTAGGCTGGTTCTTTTAATGACGCTCTTTCTTTTTTAGAAAAGGTCCAAAAACACATTGTAAATGTAGTTGGATCTGTTCTATCTGCTTGAGGCACGCCCCATCTTTGTAAGGTTGCATCTCTTTCTCTTTTCTACAAAAACTACCATGGTTCCTGCTCAAAGAAGCTATCATCTCTAGTTCCATCAATCAAAACTCATTCTCACTCGAATCATTCAGCAAAGCAGCATTTTTTCTCTGCACTTCAATCCTTTGAAGTGCAGAGACACAACTATATACTCCAGTCCTAATAAATCATCACTTTTTGATGGCTTAGAACAGGCAGCCAATTATGAATGTGATCTATTTTCTGCGACAGCTTGATACTTGCAGTGGCTGGTGAACTTTAACCCAAGCAGCTGCTTACTTTTAATAGTTATCATAATATTGTTTCATTATCTTAATATTATTCTATTAATGATCAGTCTTACTGGTAGATATTATCTCTTGTTCCACAAATTATACAAAACTCATATGAGTTTTGTATGATTTTATTTAGCAAAGTTGCATTTTTTTAATCTAACTGCTTCCTTCATTTTCAAAAAACTTTATCTATCTTTTTTTCCTTTCAGACGTGAATGCTTTGGAATTCTCTCTTGTCTTTATGTTTTTTAGACTCATACAATTGTTTAAGATTTCTGTCAACTGTCATTCCTCCTTTTTAACTCATTTTGCTACTTAATAATAATTTTTGTTTTTTAGTAACTCCCAATGTAAATATGTGGGTGCTTGCAGCCAGGTTGGAAGTGAATTTGTTCAAAAAGATTAATTAAATATAGATCAATAAATAAGTATGATATATATACAAAATCACTATCATTTCTTATATAAGCATAAAATTTATTAAAATAAATTACCACTTCTTCTGCTAAATATTTGATGATGACACATCCTAAATTTGTACAAAAAGAAAAGTATTAAAATCAAAAAAAAAAAAAAAAAAAAAAAAAAAAAATGTATGTATGCTACTACATATGAGTAACACATTAATAAAAGCAAAACCTGCTAAAGTCTAAACTGAGTTTATATATTTATTTATAAAAGTAGAATGCTTGGTATTTTAATATCTAAATAAAATAATTTTCAGTGGCACTAAATACTTCAATTGAATTTATAACTAATTTAAATATATTTCAGAAAGACTCAAAATGAAAGACGCAAAATTTCAAAAAAGAATAAGACATTTTGGGTTTTTGTTGCACAAACTTGTACAAGTAATATAAAATAAATGTTCAACAGCTGTACTGTTTGAAATTATGATTTTTTAAAATGTTTTATAAGTGAATAATTCTTCATAGATTATTTAAGACTTCTGAACACAATTAATTCTTTACTAAGAAAACTCATAGATATTTGTCCTGTACATTAAACTGTACAATTCATTTTCATGTATATTTCAGATTCAGTTACTGTTGTTCTAATTGATATTTCTGCAACTCCCAATAATTTGATTGCTAGTAATATTTGATTGGTTGAAAGCCAAAACTTTCTGTTCAATATTATTCTATAACTTAAGTTAAACTGTGGTAAAAAAATAGATACAATTAATTTCTCAATATCTGCTTAAACAGACCTCAAAACTAAGTATATTCTTTGCAATAATGATAAGTTTTATAATGCTTGCATATGAAGCCAGAAAGTGAATGTCAGTTTCTGTTAGTGGCAACAGTTTCAGTGTAGTTAACACACAGTCAGGGGTGTACCTTCATGGTTGTCCGGTGGCACTGGACAACTCATTTTCTTCAAGGGCGACTAAAATTTATAAAAAAAAGCCTGTCAGTAGCCTATCAGGACGACCAGACAGTTTTTTATTTACAAAAGTGTGTTTATTAATAAAACCATATTTTGAACTATCAAGATTTTATTCCTTGTGATTATTGAAAAGAAACCTTTAAAAAGCATTTAAAGTAGTATAGATTGTGTCGTTTAATGAGTACACTGCAGTGCGTTATATAATTTTACTAAACTTAATAAAAAAAGCTGACACACAATCTAATATTTCATAATGAGGCTATACTTTTTTTTTAAACGTTGTTGTTGTTGTATTTTGAAGCATGCTTCTTCTCAATTTAAAGTGAGTTTTAAAATTACATTTTTTTAACTTTCAAATGCTAATGCATAATTTTTTAAACGTTATAGTTGCATTTTGAATCAGGTGAATTGGCAGTTGAATCATTAATAACACTAAATTTTGTTTTTTATAAAATAAGTTTTTATTTTAACTTCAACTTTGTCAAACAAAATTAACAAAATAAAAAACATTGAGATGCTTGTAAAAAGCCATTATTAGAATGCACTTAATGATGCTTGTGGAAATTCTTCTTCCTAAAAAAAAAGAAGTCTTGGCATAGTAATAAATGTAGAGATGTCACAAATAATGATTTTGTCAAATACCGTGTCACAGCACGCATTATTTGTTATGTATAAAAGTACATTCTCTTTAAAACATTCAAAAAGATTACAAAAATAATCAGCTCAGTTATATTTTACTCTTCTTAAGTAATTTGAGAAATTGCTATTGATAGATATAGCACAAAGAACTCTAAACTTATTAAAAATGATATCGTGTCCTGGGGCAACTACAACCAGAACTTTGGGTTTAACTTATGGTTTAACTTTAATGGGAATGTCAATTATAGGGTAGCTTTTTTTATTGATAGACATTTTTAAAAACTAATTTCAAGGGATTAGTTGAAATACAACAAGCAAAAGGCCAAAAAGTTTAAAAATTATGAGAAAGATTAATTCAGTGAAGGGTTAATCTTTCTCAGTGAAAGGCTGCTTTACACTGATGAACCATTACCAGTGCCTAGTAGCACTGGTGATGATTTATCTACACTTTGTAAGAAAAAGTAATGTAAATGAAAATGATTAAACCAATGTCTGATTGCAAATTAATTTACTTTTTACACAAAACTGTTCGGAAAACAAACCCTTACAAGTTGTAGTCATCAAGTGCAAAACATCATCAAAACAAAACCTTGGTAAAGTTTTCTTATTATTTGCCAATGGCAGTGTACATAGTGAATAACTATTTTTGAAAGTAAGTATATTTTATGAGGAATTCACAATCATTTGCTATCATCAAACAATGAAAATGTTTTTATATCAATCTTTCACCTTAGATTTTAAATATCAATTATGCCAATTATTTTCTTAAATAAAAAAAAAAAAATAGCTATATGCAATCTGTTTGTTACAATCTAGTATTTGGTATTCGACCAAATAGTTTGCAATATTCAGCAGAGTACCAAATAATAAAAAAGTAACTGAATAAGCTGAATAGAATACCGAATAGTCACTGTATATTTATGTCATCTCTAAAAAAAATGTTTAAAACATTAAAAACATGTGTTAAACATTTAACTAAATTAAACTTGATTAAAGATTGGAAACCATATATACAATCGATTGCTAAATTAGCTTCTGCTAAGGTTGCTTCTCTTTATCGTGCTCGCCATTTCCTTACTTCTGATTCCATTCTCTACCTCTACAAATCTCTTATTCGTCCCTGTATGGAATACTGTTGTCATATTTGGGCTGGTTCTTCTAACGATTCACTTTCTCTTCTTGACAAGGTCCAAAAACGCATTGTAAATGTTGTTGGACCTGGACTATCTGCTAAGCTTGAACCTCTTTCCCATCGTCGTAAAGTTGCATCTCTTTCTCTTTTCTACAGATACTATCATGGTCACTGCTCAAAGGAGTTATCATCTCTAGTTCCATCAACTAAAATTCATTCTCGTTTTACTCGTCATTCAGCTAAGTCTCATTTGTTTACTGTATCTGTCCCAGCATGCTCTAAAAACTTTTATTCATCTAGTTTTTATCCCCGCACTTCAATCCTTTGGAACTCTCTCCCATCTTCATGTTTTCCTGACTCCTACAACCTTCAACTTTTCAAGTCTTCTGTCAACTGTTTCCTTGCTCTATAACTCTGTTCTTTTTTTTCCTAGTAACTCCCAACTTAATAGTGGTTGCTTGCAGCCTTGTTGGGAGTGAATGCAAATAAAAAAAAAAAAAAAAAAAAAGATTGAGACAATTTAATAGAATAATTTTCTTTTTATAAAATGTTTCTTTGCCATTATTGATTAAAACTTTTTAGCTCCACTTAATGAAACCTTTTAAGCTTGACAAAAAGAAACATGAAGCAGATATATCAACTTCAACAAAAATGACAATATTTAAAAGTTGTATTTATACTTCTTTATCAATATCTCTTTGTAACTAAAGTTACTTAAAAATATTTTTTAACAGCTTATGACATTTCACTTTTTTTTATTAATTAAATTTACTTTGAATTAAACCGATTAGATTTTTTTTCAGTATTTTACCCAGAGAAAAAATACCAAAAAAAAAATTTTCTTTTTTTGGTATTTTTCAAATAAAATATGAAAACTTTTCATTTCTTGTTTGGAAAAAACGGAGGGTACACCCCTGACAGTGAACTTTATAGAATTAAATCTTCAACACCATATCTTCATTTAATCATAAACAACATATACTCATACTCTCATTAATCATAAACAACATCTACTCATATTCTAAACAACATATACTCATATTCTAAACAACATATATTCATATTCTAAACAACATATTCTAAAAAACATATACTCATATTCTAAACAATATATACTCATATTCTAAACATCATATCCTCATTAGATTCAGTCTTGAATTAAATTAAAAATTTATATTTTTTGTACAGTAAAAGCAGTGCAAACAAGCAAACAAATAAACATAAAAAGGGGAAAAAAATCAAAAAAAAAAAAGGGGGAAAAATAAGTATATTTGAATAATGATTTAAAAAAACATTAAAATAATTATGTTGTAATAAATAATTATAACTTGCAAACATAAAATTTAAAAAAACATAAAAAGTAAAAAACTAAAAATAAAACATAATCTTAAAATAAAAACATAATATTGATAAAACGATTCCTTCAAAAAATAATTAAAAGTAATTAAAAATCTACATGAATTTAATTTATGAACTTTACTATGTGTTAGTTCTGGTTGTTGTATGCAAAATTATTCTACAAAATGTCAATAAGTAAAGAGTCAAATAATGAAGTAGATAAAGAAGCTGTGTTATGCTGTGCTTAACAAATGTATTTTCATTCATGATATACAAAGCAAAATTAAACTTTTTTGGTATTGCATCTTTTTTTTGGTATTGCCTTATTGTGGTATTGCTTAAATCCAGAAAACAATGCGTTGCTTAAACAGGTGTATAAAAGTAGCAAACATTTTAATTGCTACACCATTGCACAAAGTTTTCAATACACTAAGTTATTTACACTCAACCAAAACAGCATTAACCAATAGGCACTAGCTATCTAAGTAACATTTATTCTATCAATATTATCAACCCATATGCCAACAACATACGGGTGACAGGAATAGTGTCAAAAAATGAACTTTGCAATAGTGTGAAATATATTAAAAAGGTCTAATGTCGTAAAAAAAAAAAGGAATAGTGTCGCAAATGAATTTAATGAACAGTATCAAAAATAAAAAAAAGGAAAATTGTTGAAAATTGTTGCAAATAGTTAATTTCAGCAAGTGCTTACTTGTTTTGCTAATCTTTAAAACATACAGCTTTTACAGAAAAAAAAAGATGAAAACAAAGAATAATCAAACAAAAGATTGCTACCAAACCACAAACCCTCAGTCTTGTAGCAGCACTCCTTTGCGGCAGCAGGCTATAAGATAATTGGTGCATGAACTAAAGTCCTCGGCAGCAGGCTATTTCAGTATAACATCAAAATTGTTATCTAAACACACCTTTATAGTTATTATTATTTTTTTACTTTTGTTCTATTTTCAACACTATTCCTTTTTTTTTGTTTTCGACACTATTCATTAAGCTCCTTTGCAACTTTATTCCTTTTTTTACTTTTGAAAATATTCATTAAATTGATTTGCAACATTATTTCTTATTCTGTTATTCAACAATCAATAATGCAACAATTTTTAACAATTAAATTTACAACAATAAAACTTTGCTACAATCAAAATTTTGCAACACTATTCCTGTCACCCCAACACACCTTTTACCATAGTTTTCTTAACCAACCACAGCAGAACCTAAGTTTGACAACTATAAGTACTAAAAAAAAAAATATATCAAGAGTTGTTTTCCAAGAGAAAGGTCAGTTGTATATTAAAAAAAGCCTAAGCATTTATTGTTCATCTCACAAAAAGAGAAAAAGCATGGCAACTCATATCTTAATGCAAACTTTCAATGCCATTGCAAAATCTTACTGAAAAAAAAAAGAGAACTGTTTTGGGGTAAACAAATTTGAAGTATTAAAAAAAATATTATTCACAATTTTTATGATTAATCTATTAACATAAGATAGTTTTCTTAATCCTCTTGTATCTACTGCACCTCTTTGTTGATATATTTAATTTGAGTTGATTGTATTACATTTTGTTTATATTTTTCAGCAGTTATGTAGAAAGTAGACGAGTTAGTATCAACTGCTCAGCAGTTGATACTATATTATGCAGAATGTAGACAAGCTACTATTAACTGCTCATCAGTTAATACTATTTTGTTTACTATCAGCATAGCTGCTGTGTCATATGTAAAACAAAAAAGACTCTTCTTCAATAACAAAACATACTAATTTAACTTTTCACGAAAACATTCAACACATTTTTTTGCAAGTAAATTTCAATTGATCCAGAAAACTCCTAAATTACAAAACTTAACAAAAATTCAATGTATTAATGTATCATTTTTTCCTTCAGGTTTATCAAAAGTAATAGTAAAATTGTTTCTGTTTAATTTACATTTTGATATTTTTTGGTGGTGGCAGGATTTGAACTTATATTGCGCAACAGTCTGGGTATTAACTTTTCATTTGACGCTCTAACCAACTGAGCTATCCAGCCACAATCTTTTAAAGTCTCACTTTAAGAGACCAACTAGAGGAAAAGTTCTTTGCAAACAGTACTGCTTTATCCCTAGGAAAGATAATGACATTAAACCCAAGATCAGATAATGTATTAGACTTATCTTTGCTAATGACACTTAAAGATGTTTTGTTAATGACAATTGAAGATTATAACATAAATTTTGAGATAGATACAAGATTGAGTAAACTGAAAATATTTGAGCTTAACATCAGACAGCAATTTTTTACATTGACTTTTTGCACAGGCAGAAAAAAAAAGTAGAAATAGTAGTGGCATAAAAAGATGAAAAACATAATATAGAACGAAGATTGATTTGAAACCAAAAAAAAAGGAAAAAAAAGCTTCTATACCTGTTTACAAAAAAGTACAGAAAACTATGAAAAAACTTTATGTCCAAATCGTTAATCAAAATAATAATAATATTGAATATTATTGGTTTTAGTAAAGGCTCTTACAAAGATAGTAGGATGATTAGAATTTTTTTTAAATTAGGTAAGCTTTAGTATTAGCTGCATTAACAACATTTGAAATATTTTTATAAGTAATAATATTTTCTATACTTTAAGAGAATAATAATTTTTTATCTTTATATATAACTATATAATATTTTAGTATAAAGAATAAAACAGAATATCACACCTGTTTCATTAAGGTAAATTTTTGGTATATCCAAAAATACACAACATTTACATTCATCACCTTCACAACTGCATCCTTTTACAGATGGAAATTGTAGACTTTCCTGAGTGAAATCTGAAAATATTTATTAAATTAAAAATAAGGAAATAGAATTTTTCAATAGAATTTTATTAGTAGTGGTTAATTTTTATCTGGAAAAATTTAACTTAGAAAAAAATTGTTTCTTTATTCAGCTTACCATTATACCTCCTTGTATGAAACGTTCTAATATTTAGAAAAATAACAAACACAAGTAGCATGTAATAAGACATTTAAAATTGCTGTTACGCGTTCAAATCCAAAATATATGTACGTAGCTAAGAACTAATTTTAATTGGCTTTTTGATGATTATAACTAGATTATATTGTTTATCAGTTTATATTGGATGGATATTAATAATTAAACTTCGTTTTTCTCATGAAAAAATATTCTCTTTTTTTTTAAAACATATGTATTTTTAACAAAAAAAGCATGATTAAAAAGGCCGAACAATATAATCTTGTAAGCATATTTAGTTACATTCATCAAAATAGTTAATAAAAATTATTATTAAAAATCATGGAAGTAACTATTAGTTACTTGCATGATTTTTAGATTTAAGTCTGTAATAGCAAATATTTTTCAATTATTATTATAGATAAAGAGAATTTTTATGCGATATTTGCTTAGAAATTAAGCAAATAATCGCATAAAAATTTGCTTAGAAATTAAGCAAATAATTGTAATCCTGTGCTTTTTAATCTTGCTCGTTAATACACGGGATTAAGTCCTGAGATTTTTAAATTGTTCTTAAAAGATACATTTTATTTTAGTAAACTTTAAGAAAAGTCATTCAAAAATAGGTTATAAAAATTATTTGTTAAATTATAAGGAGATTCATTAATTTAATAAAATTATTATTATTAATATAATAATAATAAATTTTAATTATTTTGAAAAATGATCCAACAGTTCATCAAACATTTTTATATCCTGAGCTGGGCGGTAGCGCGACTCAGTACAACAACGCTACAGGCGGACTTTCGCTACATGCGCGCTTTTGCAACTCCGCTACCAAATAAATATTTGGTAGCGGAGTTGCGAAAGCGCTTTCTTGATGAATACTTGATGAATAGTGGCAGACTTGGGTCGCTACCAAAAAAAATCCAAAGCGCTATTCCGCTATTATTTAAATTTAGAACTACAATTTGAGGTAGTTTAAGTTACATTTTTTTTATTTACTGAAAATGAAGTGAAATAAAAATGAAACCTTCAATTTTCAAATATCGGAAGAGCGTGCAGAAGCAATTTATTTAAAAGTTGTCAACAGTTTTTTGAAAACTGTTTCTTGTTCCAGAAAATATTTTTAAATATTAAAAGTGTTGCAGTCAACTGAAATTCGGTATTTTAACTAGAATAATGCAATTTTTTAATCCTAAGGATGATGCAACAACTACAGGCTGTAATTCAAACTATGTTAGTGTCTTTAACCAGTTTGGTTTAGTCGAGTAAGAAAAATAGAGAGAGATGGTTTATCATGAGCTGATCAATTGACGCCATTTTTTTCGAAGGAAATTTTTATAAAGTTGCAATAATGATATCATTCTACCGAAGCACCATCGTTTTGCAGCTCAGACAGTAAACTTGCTGGGTTGTAAGAATACCTAAATATTGCCAAGCTTGAATTTGAATCCCAAGCCATTGTTTTTTAAATCAGCTGCAAAAAATCATAAAATATAGAATATCTAAAATAGGATAACTGTGATAGAAAATGACAACAAGGCAGCACTGAGGTTGATGACACCAGTAACCACAAGTTTGAACTCCGTTTATGATGTCTTAAAATACCTATTAATCAAAGAACATAACATTCTATAAGTTTTGTTGCATGTACAGACGTGTTCAAATTAATAGACTAAATTTTTTTTCTCATTTTTTTTTATTTTTATAAAAATATTGCACATATAACGTACGTAAATATAAAAAAAACCTAACTAATACTTGGTATGGAGCTCCTTGGCTTTAATAAGCATATTAATACTGCTCGGCATGCTTTCTACCAGAGTTTTACAAATATTTTTGATATCTTGGTCTTGATGCTATATTTGTATCATTTTTTTGATGAGTTGCACTTTGGTACTAATTGTTTCTTTCTTGATCTTTTTATTTAAAAGAGCTCACAAATTTTTAATGGGGTTCATGTCGGAACTATTTCCTGGCCATGGCAATGTCTTGATTCTGCTCTGCTGAAGAAATTCTGTCACTTTTTTTGCTTTATGACACGGAATTAATTAATTGAAAGTTAATACGTTAATACTAGGAATTCCGGAATTCCGTTCCGGCCGGAATTCCGACCGGAATTCTAACCGAAATATGTAATTTTCAAGTTGTTCTGGTTCCGTCCGGAATTACAATATTTCAGACCGGAATTATTTAAGACATGTGACACAGACTATGTAATTTAAATCAAAAAATCATTGTCCTACAGGGCAATGAAGTACTATGGGTAAACCTAGGTAAAAAATACAAAATTCTTGGCAAATACAATGTAATTTTAGGTAAAGCTACAGTTTAGCGGTCTAAAATAATTTTAATTTTTTACTTAGGGTTTTTTAAACATTAGAAATTTTAATTGAAATAATAAAAGAAAAAAGATTGCTGCCCTATGCCCAAGGGCGTACTGGTTCCATTTTCCCTACCGGAAAACTAGATATAATTAGGGCCCACTTACTATATACAATATAGATACTAATATCAATGGATTCCATGTATACCTATAATAATACCCAGGTTATCTACCCATTTCTTACACTAAAAAAAAAACTATACAATTAACCTGAACCTAAATAACAAAACTAAATCTACATTTTAATTTAAGTTTTATAAAAATAAATAAATACACAACAATATTAACATAATTATCATTATTTAAGTGATATTTATTGCGTGGTAAAAGTTTACAAATTTTATGAATAACTTTAGAGTGAACTCTATTTTTCGTTAACCTTCTTGGATCAAATAGTTCAAGATCACAATAAAGTTCTTTACTGCCCAAAAATCTACATTCTAAGCAAGCAAATAATATTATCCATAACTACGTTAAATGTTTTGATTTTACAAACATTTTCGGGAAAATTCAAGTACTAACCAAAACATAGGAGATCTCCATCTCCTATGTTTTGGTCAGTACTTGAATTTTCTCTATAACATTTTGGAATCTTCTTGTTTCAGCAAGCTCTAACTTTACATCAATGTCTGACTTATCTTCCCAAATTGCACTAGATACAAATTCAATGATTATTTTTGCTCCTGCTCTGACTGGTAAAATTTTCTTTGGTATTCTTTTAAAGACTTTGTTCTATCAATTTTTCTTCATGCTTGAATATAATCTAGACCAGATGTATGTAGGTAATCAGATAGAACATAAGTAAACTTAAATATTTGCAAAAATATTATTGCTTAATACTGTTTCATAACGGTTAAGTCGACCTAGTAAATTTTGAACTGTACTTCTGTACGCTGTTTGAAGAATCATTAGTAACAGAAATGTGCAAATACAATTAGCATATAGATAAATTGCTTTTTGTCATCATTCTCGGTTCTTTCATTTCTCATATTAATATGACCAAATATCTTAATAACCGCATCATTTTTAGACCAACATCGAGTTTTACCAATATTTATCAAATAAGGCGGACGACTGAAATTGTTCTGATTTTCATAAACATTGAGTCTTTTATAAGATTCTTTGAAAAAAATAAAATTCTTGAAAAAGTCCAAAAAAGAAATAACTGTAACTGAACAAGAAGTAGCTTGTTGTAAGACTAGATTTTATCCATGAGCATAGCACCATGTATGAATATGCCTTGATAGCATTTTCTTAAGTTTTGCTTGAACTCCTTTATATTGGCCATTCATATTGGCAGCACCATCAAAGCATCTGCTACACAATTATCTAAGTTAATGTTCATAGAATTTAAAGTTAATTTTAATAAATCGAATAAAACCTGTCCTTAAGATAAAACTACGTTGTTTAAAGCTACAACTCGTTCCATAACTTCAACTATAGACCTGGTACCTTCAGTTCTGTTACTAATATACCGCAAAACAAATACACATTGATCATGGGTAGATATATCCATAGTTGTATCCATAGTAATTGAATAATTACAAGCTGAATTTACTTCTTCAGATATTTTTAATTATAATAATTGTGATCATTTAAATCAATATTAGACTTGGCTATTTGTAAAACAATCTCTAAAAGGTTTCCATGGTCAACTGCTGTATTTTTTAAATTATAAGTGATGAGCACGGTTCTTATTATCAGTGCCGGATCAAGGGGGGCTATAGCCGCGGGCCCCGCAAATTTAGGGGCCCCCAAAATTTTTAGAGGACGTTTTTTTTTTTAGTCATTTTTAGACTCTGGTGCATAAAAAGGCCTCCAAAATAAAAATAGCCCCGAGCCCCAAAAAGTCTTAATCGGCCACTGCTTATTACTGCTTGTTCTTTTTTTCACGATAATCTTGAATTCGACAACGAGCATCTTATTTCATTATTAATTACTATGATCGATGATGAATAAATAGATAATATAGCTAAAAATAGCAATTACAGTTTTTTAACAAATTGTTATGTATTAAACAAAAAAAAAATCGTAATAGTTCATACGAAACACGACGAGGACTAGTACGTACTACTTTATAATAATTATTGAAGTTTTATTAGTTATACTCTTTTCCACCCATATCAATATCTCATTATTCCAATAGTAGGAATAATGATATATATATATATATATATATATATATATATATATATATATATATATATATATATATACATATATATATATATATATATATATATATATATATATATATATATATATATATATATATATATATATGTATATATATATATATATATATATATATATATATATATATATATATATATACATATATATATATATATATATATATATATATATATATATATATATATATATATATATATATATATATATATATATATATATATATATAATTGAAAATACATCATGTACGGTGACATACTATTTATTTAACTATCAAAATTTTTGAATTTTAAATGTGATATTTCGGCTCATAAAGTTAAAGCCATTTTCAAACTAAAATACGTTACAAAAAATTCGTTATTTACAAATATATATATATATATATATATATATATATATATATATATATATATATATATATATATATATATATATATATATATATATACATATATATATACATATATATATACATGTATATATATATATATATATATACATATATATATATACATATATATATATACATATATATATATATATATATATATATATATATATATATAAATATATATATATATATATATATATATATATATATATATATATATATATATATATATGTATATATATATATATATATACATATATATGTATATATATATATATATATATATATATATATATATATATATATATATATATATATATATATATATGTATATATATATATATATATATATATATATATATATATATATATATATATATATATGTATATATATATATATCAGTGGCGTTGCTACATAATTAGCGCTTGGATATTCTTATATATTCCATATAAATTCCTAATGTCCTATTTGATGATACTAAAAAGCTTAGTTGGCAATCTTAATGCTAATAATCTGGTAGAAAAATAAAGTTAAGGATTAGGTCAGCAATTCTGATTCAAAATATCATTTAACGTTTCACGTCTTTCTTTAGAAAAAGCCTAAAGTTCAGCAATCTGATTGGTGTTTTCTTATATGTATACATTTTTCTAATCTGGATAATACTGCTATTTTTTTATCTATATGCAAACTCCATTTGATGTGATCAATATGGAGTTCAACAATGTCTGAACTGATTGATCAGAGAATTTACTAGACCTTAATTGCATTTAGCACGTATGGGCAAGACTTCACAATAGCGTTTTTGAAAATCCTAGACCCCAAAACCGCCAACAACTCACCATAAGAGTTCAAAAAGAACGAGTTTCCATTACCCAAGAAGAATGCTATTTACTCATTGAAAGTTTTCGCGCCACAATTTTTGGAATAATCAGGTAAAAATGGTGAAATAACTCACTACTGATCAGTAGCATTGTTATAAAGATTTTGCGAATGCAGTGTTTCTAGTTAAACTATTCCAACGGTAAGTTAAAATCACTGCTTCGCAATTAGAAAGTAGGAAATTTTAACATGTGATTTGAAAGCTTTTAAAAGCAGTAGTTAAGTAATTGACTTTCTTAAAAGTTGATTGGATTGATTTTTAACAACTGTTTCAACACTCAAGAAGTAATTACAGTTTAGGAATTGTTTCTTGCAATATTTGGTATCTGCTATCTATTACAGCTATACTATAAGTATAAGAATATAAAATTCCTGGTTATCAATCCTGAAAAAATACTAACCCAGACATTGATTAATTCAATTCTAATCTAGACATTTAATAACAGTTACTTCGAAAAACAAAAAATAAAAAAAAACTAAAAACAAAGCAGGAGCGAAGGAGTGTGCAAGGGTTTGTGACATCCCTATTCAATGAATAAGTTGCCAAATTTAGCCAACTATCTAATGGCATATTAGTAGGTGGCCTCACACTTGCCACCTACTAATATATCATTAGATAGTTTTTTTTGAAAAATAAAGTTTGATTGATTAACTTTCAATTAAGATAATTACGCGGTATTTCATTGAAAACTATATTCTCCAGCGTAGTGGAATCTAATCCCGCTAGTTGTCTCGCACGCTACTTACGCAATTTAAGTTCATAAATTGGATTGGGATTGCTGGCAAACTTTCTGACTGCAATCGCCAGAGGAATAATAAGATCCTTGAAAATTTCTCAAAGGTAATTAAAAAAGGTACAAAAAAATTGCGCACTAATAATATATACGCTTGGAGCAATTGCTCCAACTGCTCCACGTTAGCTACGCCTCTGATATATATATATATATATATATATATATATATATATATATATATATATATATATATATATATATATATATATATATATATATATATATATATATATATATATATATATATATATATATATATATATATATATATATATATATATATGTATATATATATGTATATATATATATATATATATATATATATATATAAATTACACACCGAAAAATAAGTTAAAAGCCCAACTTGTTTTTTTTTAAGATATAGCCCCAGTTTTTTTTCTTCCGGAAATCCCAATTGTGTGATTCCGGAATTTCACGGTTCCGATGATACTTATTAACTAGTTGTTGAAGTTTTAGCTTCTGATTTTTGTTGAAATTTTTTAAAATTATTTAAAAATTTGTTTTTAAAAAAAATTTGTTAAGCAATTTCTGAGAAATTCGTTCAAATTAATCAATTTTATCGTTGCCTGTTTTGTTTAAGCGTTATAATATTAAATAGTGCAACATAACATAAACAATATAATCAAATATTATATTTATTTTTTAAATCTACTTAATATTAGTTTCATACAATGTATGAAACTAATATAGTGTATGATACACTATTTTATAAGTAAGCATTATTTGTAACACCACCTACCAATTTGTACAGTACTTATGGTATGCTAGTAATAATATTTAATTTTTTTTTCATAAAAATTAGTAAAATAAACTGAATAGATTGTAATAGTATATGTGTTACAATAATAGTGCAAGTGTGTGTGAGTATGTGTGTGTATCTGTGTGTGCACATGATTTTAAGTAGATTTAAGCACATGCCTAATGCAATATATCCAAAAATATAATGCCAAACATCCTTTAGGAAATGTTTATTCGTTCAATAAAAGATTAGTAGTATCTGCCAAATCCAATTAATTACTACCCTTTTTATGATCTCCAAATATATGTTTAAGTACACACTAAAAAACGTTTTATTGAATCCTGGAAAGTGTAAACAATAACTGTGTTATAAAAAAATCTATGAAAGAAATATGTTACAGACATAACATATCTCTTTCAAAAGATACTACTGCGTGTTTTGATAAGCATTTGTTCACTTTTTCTGCTTACCTTACGCTATACTGTTTTTTTCAAAAAAGAAGAAAAAAAAACGAAGAATGATGAATAAAATGATTGCTGCCCCATCCCAAACCCTCAGTCGATGTAGCAGCACTCCACTGCGAGTCAGGCTATTTGTCAGTCGATGTATGTACTGAAGCCCCCTGCAGCAGACTATTTCAGTATGACGTCAGATTGCTTATCTTAGTACGCAATACTATTTGTATATATGTAAATATATATATATATATATATATATATATATATATATATATATATATATATATATATATATATATATATATATATATATATATATACACAAAAAAATGACTTATTACTTTTAAATTAAGTTTTTTTTAGGTTATAAAATGCAAAAAAAAGATAAAAACTTAAAAAAGCCATGAGTAGAATTTCTTTGGAACGATGTTTTGAGGATGCAGTAGATAAAGGAGAGTTGTTTATACAGCAAAAAAATCTGAAATCTTTTCCAATATATGTAGATGATTATGATCTTGCAGATGTTACTCGTGTTGGTATAAATTTTTTTTTTATTTAAAGAAATATGTATAACTAGCTGTAAAAAGTCTACTACTGTATTTTTTTTTAAAGATATATCAAGGAACAAGTTTTCTGAACTCCCACAAGAGATTTTATCTTTTACTATGATGGAAAAATTAATATGTTCAAATAACATGCTAAAATCTTTGCCCGATGTTAGTCATCTCAATGCCCTATCTTATTTAGATATAAGGTATATGTTAAAGTAATTTTTTTATTTATTGATTTAAAAAAATTTAGATTTTGAAAAACCCTTCATTATTTCAAGCTATTAAAATTTAGAAAATTAAGAAAAAGAAAAACTTTTTTTCTTTATTTTTACTTTTATTTATTAATACTTATATTACTTTATATTCCACCCCCTCCCCCACACTTACCCCTAACTCCTGGTATTTTATATTTTTATTAATTTAATTAATTAGTATTATTAGTCTGCCTCAAAATTGTTTTTTAATTTATTATTTTTTTGTAAACTAATCTTGTTCTTTACTTTTTTTAAAAAAAGGTACATGAAAAAGTGCTATAAAACCAAACCCACAAGTGCTATAAAACCAAACCCACAAGTGTCACACCTATTTTTAAATTGGCAAAGGCATATCAAAATTAATTTTGAAGATATTTATAAATAAAAATAAAAGCTTAAGTTATTTGTATTAGTATTTGAAAATAACTATAAGATAATTTATAAAGCTTTAAGATATGAATATGAAATGAAATGCTCATAGCTGACCTATATATCTTTTTACTGCAAAATTGCTATATCCAAATTTTATATTTGATGGCAAACTTTTTTCCATTATTTGTTAAACATTAATTCACTAAAAAATTATTCCTCAATATGCATTTTATTAGGATTAAAATTTATGTCAAGTTAATTGGTCTATAAACTAGACAATTCTTTTATAGAAAAGTAAATAGCTGCCTATATATTTTTAGATATTTCTTTTGTTTATTATTAAATAAACAAAATAAATGTCAAAAAAAAAATAGTATAATAAATTATTTTTAAATAGAATAATGAATAACACATCCATGGCTATTAACCTGAAATATTTACATTTAACTCTGTATATAATTTTTTTTGGTCACTAGTTTAAGTTTCTCATTTTTTTCTTTTTTGATTTTGATTTGAGTTGTAGATTTTTCCTTTTGAATCTTTGCATTTAATTTCCACTAAAAGCTATTTTTGATATCCATAGAAATTATTTGTTTTGCTCTTGCCTCAGTTTATAGTATGATTTTTTTTTGTTTAGAGAAAATGTTTTGAAGTAAGAGTTAGTACCTATAATTTTTTTTTGTTGTTGTTGTTAAACACATTTAGTTTATAAGTTTCTGGGATTTCTGGGATATGTTTTTTAACAATTTATGCAGTTCAGTAGTTAACTACAAATTTTTTATAGTCATTATCACATTGTTTGATTGTATTATTCTTCTTCTTATAATTAATATCACATGGTCTTCCCTTAGAGTACGCTTTAAAAAACTTATTTCCTTCACATAATGAATGGAATGGACAGGGTTTTTATTTCTTTTTTTTTTAAAGTCTTTAAGTTTTTATGAACATTATTTAATTAAGTTCTTTCAATTTTTAATCGTATAATAAATTAGTTGTTTTAAAATTCTGATTAAAGAAGCAAAAAATTGTGGAAAATTGTCTAATTTAGGAAACCATCTAACCAATACAAGCCTGGAAAAAGTTGTTTAAAAAATGTATTTTGTATAAGTTATTTCATAATTAAAATTTGATTTTTTTTCATAGTCAGAATCATCTCCAAAGTCTTCCAGCTCACATCTGTTCATTACCGTTGAAGATATTAAAAGCTAGCTACAACAAATTAACAGGTCTTCCTACTCAAATAGGACTTCTTTCAAAGTTGCAATCTCTAGTTAGTAATTTATATATTTTAAATGCCTTATTTTTGTATTGGCTTTTTTATTTAATATTTAATTTATTATTTTATTCCTATTTATTCCCTAGATAATATATTGTAATATATCGTAATATAAGCATGGTAATGACAATGATGAATAATGTAACTATTATGGTATTTTTATAATGAGTAAAAAGCATTATGCTCTTGTTTGTTTGCGCAGTGGTCTGCTAATGAAGAAAATAAATAATAACTGTTAAAAAATTTAGCTAAAAATAAGCATTGATGATGAAATAATGCTGATTTAACATTTTAATGATAATCTGAAAAAACATCAAAGCAACTTAGACATAATATCTTGATAATGGTTCAAAAATTTTTATAAAGTTGGAACCCCAATAGGTTTTTGCTTGAGGTTTCAAAAAAAGCATTCTGGGAACTGGATATTTTAAAGAGATTGTTTATTCAATTTTATTCAAAAGCTAAGAGTCTAGTTTTTTTTTATTGGTTTGTAAACTATTGAGGCTGCCAACCAAAATATCTGGGGATAGTTTTATTATAAGTCATTACTTAATGTTAAGTCGACTAAAAAAAAATAGACTCTTAACTTTGGCTCTAAGCTAAGTAAAATTTAATTTTAAGTTAAAAATTAGTTTTTTTTACAACCAAGTGCTTATGTTCTTTAAATCTTGACAAATATGCTGTACTTATGACATAATTTTGTTATGGTGTAGAAATTAATTTTTTTTTTGGTCAAAACAAATTTTTGCCTGGTCCATGGTGATGCATGAATCTGATTTTAATCTCTAGGATGATTACATTTTCAATAATCTCTACACACAAAATCCATCGTCAAATAATAATCCTATGCACAAAATCCATCATAAAGTAATAACCCTACACACAAAATCTATCATCAAATAATAACCCTACACACAAAATCCATCATCAAATAATAACTCTACACACAAAATCCATCATCAAATAATAAACCTAGAGTAATTCCATGTCAATTCATCCAGAAAATTTCAAAAATGTCACCAAATGTCTCACATTTCGCTGATTTTTATACAGTAGTGAGTAATTAGCAAATCAAGAACTCCTTGAAAATTTTAGCTTCTAGTTCCAAGAAGATCCTGAAATATGATCATTTTACTTTTAACAAATCTTGGCCAGGCCTCTCTTGTCCCCTCAGAATTTTGACCCTTGTGTAAAGGTTCCAGATCACATGGTTTTAAAAATATTTGATCTTTTTACTTAAAATTTTGTACCTGGCTATTTTCAGTGGTGAATCCGATAAAATGATCTGAAATGTAAAAAATTATTAATAAGTACCTGTAATTATCAGTTGAAATAAATTTAGGCAATTTTTTATATACTTGATTTTGATGCTCAAGAAACCCATGTGGTGTTGATGATATCAAAAAAAAAATTTTTACACATCATTCTATATTCAATAAACTTTCAGAAAACATAAGGAAATTGATCTGCAAGTATATGGATTTCCATATATGGATAACAGGACATGGGCACCACTTTTTTGTAGTGTAATCTTGCAATACGTTTTTCACTAACTTTCAGACTAGCTGGAGCTCTGAAACTCTCAGCATTTTTGTAGTGCCGATAAACGTGCATTTTAAAATTGTTATTAGGGTTCGGGACACTAGGGAAGGAGGAGGGGGCCTGTGCTCTACTTTTTTGAGCAGAATTTTGAGATGGATTTTTCACTACCTTCCTGACAAGCTGGAGCTCTGAAACTTTCAGCATTTTTGTAGTCCTAATGAGCGTGTGTTAAAATTGTTTCCATTGCAGACAACCAGAGGGCCATGGAGCTTGGGCACTGGGGCCCATGCTCCACTTGTTTTCTCAAAAAAAAAAAAAAATTTATACAAAGTTAAGGTAACTTTAAACGGCTAGTTGTTGTTACAAATGCATCAATGCTACAAATTATGTTGGTAATTAGAACCCAACACTCAGCTGCTCTAGATGGCCAAAAAAAAAATAGTTAAAAGGACCGTGTGGATGCATAAATGTTACCATAATATCTTGCTCAGTATTTTCAATTTCATTTATCATACCAATCCATTGAAACAAATCATATTTACACAGAATAAATTCACCAAATTTCAATGTATTGATGTTAATTTGCTGATCATGTTGAGATCTTTGAATACCAGAAAAAGAAAAAATGCTTGTTATGTTAAAATCTTCACTTGTTTGTTTAAAAATAATAGTATCTATAGATTCTGGGTTAAATTGATGATAGCTCCTAGTTCCAGGAATTGTTCTACTTAGCTGAAAACATGTTTGCAAAGTAGTGCGCAATTCTGTCAGTCTTTCTTTTTCAATCTTGAAAAAACAAATCCCTTTAATATTGTTTGTACAGTAGCCAAACATTTTATTGCAATTCAATATCTGGTCATTTATGGGCCTTTGTAGACTTGCATTTGCAGATAATCTTTTTACAGTGCCACTAATACAATCACATGATGACTTACCAACACTTGTTGCAAAAAATGTCCACTCTGCATAAATGTCAAAATCATCTCTATGGAGACAGATATTGTAAAGGTTTATGTGGTTTTTATACTGTGCAGCACAACCGTCTGAAAAACGTGTAGTTTTCTGCAAAGTCACCTAAGAAAATACAGCAGTCTTTTGTCAACTTTTCTTTTTGTTGCGTTAGGTATTTTACTTGACATTTTGCAATGTTAGAATGAGTTGTTAACTTGTTTATTGCCTCTGATAACATCAATTTGTATTCTTCAATTCTTATTGTCTGACAGATCAATGTTTTTCTGTCTGTTTTCTGCCACTGGTTAAATGACACCTCCTCATCATTGTCATTATCAATTAGCTGTGCATCCAGAAACTTGTTTAAAGAAAATATACCTGGACAGTTCGGACATCGATGAATCATGCACTCGTTACTTGTCGCATCACAAACAACTTTTATCACCAGATCTTTGTAAGTACAATTTAATTGTATAGCGTTGGTCAAGAGTATTGCATTTTGATGGTGGTTACATACACAGAGTGAGTCCCTGATGCTCCAACAGTTATACACCATTTTGGTCTTAAATTGCAAAATCTAGAAAACCTAATAACTTCTTGAAGATATTTAGTTTAGCTAAAGATTAATTGGACCAATGAGAGACAATTTTTAAATAAAGTAACATCTTACGACTGTTTAAAAAGGAAACAAATGTTCTTTATTTAACAAAGTTTGCAAGTTTTAGTTTTATCTAAGCTAAATTATTTTAGAAATAAAAAAGTTAATTTTTTAATACCTATTCTATGTTTCCCATAGTTTGAAAAGTTTAACATATTTGAAACAATTCTTCTAAGTAAGATAAACAAACGAAATGATTAAATTATTGAATTACTATAGAAATTAAATTAACTAGATAGAAATCAAGTAAAAAGGTTAAAAATACTTTATAGCGAGGAAGCGAAGCTGCTTCACAATATCGCTGATGATGTTTAATGAGTGAGCTTTTTAATTTTAATTAGTATTTAAAGCAGAAAAAAGTATAACGAGTTGTTAAGAAAGGCAACTTAAGCGAAAATAATTAGAGTTAGTAAACTAATATCTAGAAACTTTTCTTTATACCTAATAACTTGCTATATATACTTGTGTTTTGCCGTGACCTCAGGCGAGGTGCTTGTTTATCTGCAAGTTAGTGGCTCCGAGAATAAGCCATAGTTTTGATAATATAATCTTAAAACAATTTATGCTAGAAATCTCAAAACCTAACAAATTGTGAATAATACAATTTCTAAAACATTTCAACAGATCACTCTAGAACTTTATATTGCTTAGTCAGCGTTTTTTTTGAACCAATAGTTTTAGTACGTTAATTTGGCGGGTTTTTAGTGTTCACGAATATTCTTTTTATTCTTCTGCACCAAGATGTTTTGAGAACATTCAAGTTTTTTATGTTTCCATGTATGTCTGTAAAACAAAAATTTTTTGTTTTGTACATAAACTTAAATGTTCTTAAAACGTCAAAAAAACCTAGCTAGTTTTTTGCAACTAAATATAATTTCCGTGGTCAGTATTCGAGAGCAATCACTCCCGCTTCCCGACCATGCCTGTTTAATGTTACGTCAAAAAATGTTTTACCTTTCTTAGTGTCTGGATCTGCAAATATCCCACTTATTTCTTTTAGTTTGCACGCTTTTCTAATTTGGTATTCAGGGATGTTGAAATATCGTGCAGCATTATTTCTTGACCAAGACTCAGGTGTAAAAGTTAACATCTGAATTTGAACTTTAAGGTCAGAAATAACTAAATTTCCTTTTATTTCTGCTGTTAGTTTGTCTAGATCATCGCATTTACTTTTGTCATCCAATTGATATCCAGGCACAACATGGGATACACATCTATTATTTCAAAACTAACATTTCTCAAGACTGATTCTTTTCCAAAGTTGTACTTGAAAAAAAATTCACAATTATCTTGTTCATTAAATTTACTTATTATAGCATCATAGCAGTTTCGACAAAGTTGATATCCAGGCACAACATTTGGAAAATTGATTCTCAATTGTTTTGCCATGTCTAATGTTATTACATGACTACCTGAAATGAAAAGTACAATTTGTTTTTAGGGATTACCTATGAACATGAAAACTATTTGTTCTTATTTCAATTATATAATTTATAACCAAACCATCTTATTTTCAAACTTTTATAAACTAGTAAATTTTAATTTTATTATTCAAAACAGATTTTACAATGATTCTTTATAAATTATTTACCTTTGATTGTTTTTCTTTTCGATTTATGCTTTTCCAATAAATTGCAACATTTTGTGTGCTCCTTTTCAAAGTTTGTACCAAAAAAATTTTCATGGTGAAGGCAGATTGTTACAAATATCAATTAAAATAATAATTTTAAAAAGTGATATATTTTTTTAATAATTTATGTTTTGACAGGATGTTTTTTTTACTGTTTGATTTTATTTAATTAAACAACTTGCAGTTAACATTTTACCATTAAAGTCTATAGAT